GACACTTCCAGAAATAATAAAAATAGAAGATTTCGAAAGTGAAGGATAGTTGAATATTGTGGATGATGTTGAAAAGATCTGGGATGTTTATACATTGATCTGGCTGATCTCAACAAATAAGAGTCTAAGACTAACCGAATCATTTTAAAGAAGAGAAAAAGTAGTTCATGGTAAAATACAAAAGTTCTGCTTTTCTGTTACTTTGTTTCTAATGTGTTTTATTCTGTTTTTATTACCAAATTGAAGGTATTATCTCTGTGTGTTTAGGTTTAGTTTTAATTCACTTATGTGAGTCTTGATTACTCATGATTTTCATCTTCACACAGTTAGATTTTGTCTTGTTTCTGCTTGCCATTCATTGTATTGATCGGCGTTTATCCTTTCCTAATGGATCATAGTTTCTGAACTAATTGTGTTTTTCAGCGATAACTTGGTTTCACGTAAATGAAATTCGACTTTCTGATCCTTTTTAAATACTTGAACTGTTTGAACATCTCGTAGCATAAGCATATAGTTAATAAGATCTCACTGTTTGTAACTTACTGTGTGTCAAGTAAACGAAACTGAACTTTCATTATGTCTTGTTCTTATACTTGAACGGTTTGAACCTGGCCTACTTCATGAACTTTTCCCATTACGTCTGTGAGGAAAGATAAATGAAAGATGTTAATACCAATTACGTTAAGATTTCTTTATACAAAACGTTACTAATATCACAAATAGATACATATAGTCAAATACTACTATGTAAGAACAAAATAATTACCTATGAGAAAGTTTGGCTTTAGAGTTTTGCCGATCTCTTCGTAGTTAGCAAGAGAAGTGAAACGGCTATCAACATGCAATTGAATATGTTACCACAATATCGTTTGTTTTTGACATCTTGTATTGAAGACTTGTAGGTTGATATTGTGCTGAAGCTTGGGAGATGGAAATGTTTTCAGTGATTCGCCATTCTCCTATAAAAAGGTATGTCATTAGTATTGGAGTACGAGTATTTTAATCCATAATATATATAACTTACCAATTCATCAACTTGGACCATTTTAAGTAACCTCCTCCATAGGAGGTGTTTTGTTTCAACAAATGAAGCAATTTTACTTGAACTCGCCATGTGGTTTTGAAGTGTTTGACATTTTTGAGAAGAGTAATATCTGTTTTCTAGACATGTGTTATGGTGGTTTGGTTAAATTTTTTTTTTGCTTTCACTCTATATTTATATTTTTGGTTGAGGGTGTAGGTTTTCTATTGAAATCTTAACCAAAAAGATATGAAACTTGATTTACACGTATAAAAGAGAATATGCGTAGTTTGAATACTTTAATATGGTGAGTTTAGATACAGTTAATATATTTTTAGATTCTGTTTTTTTAAACTCATTGATATCGATACTAAATATATGCTAATCAATACTAGATATTGTTAAAATATCTAGCAAATTATATGGTAACTAATTCCGAATGTTTGTAGGTTAATTGATATTCGGTTTCAAGACTAAGTAGTAAGAATAAGGTAATACCTAATATTGTTAAGGATCTCATGAGTGTTATACGGAAAGAACGTTAATGTTACATTCGAGATTTTAGTCATATAAATCACTAAAAGGGTTTCGGTTAAGGGGGTTTAGAATTTGAACTTTGGTTTACAAAGAAAATAATCCGGTTTCATATTACACACTTGTAATCTATTTAAAACTACATGACATTTAATATAATTTTACATGAAAAAGAATCAATAATTATTTTTATATTAGTATGTACCCTAAGAATACAATATGTATGACTTATGCAAACATGAGTAAAATTTTAATCTGAGTACAAAGAGATATACTGTAGTAATGAATAATTTTGTATGACACTTTTTGTGATATTTTAATGGTTTAGGTATGCTGTAAATGGGTGAGGATGAATGAGAAGTGGCGGTAAATAAATGCTAAAACATATACGAGTGGTTAAGGGAAGACTCGATGTTTGGTTAAATAAAACAGTTGAATTTAGGAGGTTTGGTTTTAGTGTTAGCGTTGGTTTAGTTCAATGGCGATCTCTTGTAATTCTGTAGGAAAATTAAGGGTTAGTTTCTATTTGTACTCTTCTTTTAATAGATTAGACTAGGATTTGACCAGCCCTTTAGAGGGCGCGTATATTTTATAATTTCATTTTTTTTATAAATTTAATTTTTACATTTGTGTTTCTTTTGTAGTCATATTTGAGTTTTTTGTAATCATATTTATGTAAAATATTTTTTAATGATTAGTAAGGTGTTTTGACAATTGTATTGAATTTGTGATGTTGCATAATTATACAATTGTGCCTAGTGCTAGGAAGCGGGTCAAACCCGTCCAACTCGACCCTTCCTGCAGTGGGGTGATTCATTTTTTGACTAAATTTTTTAACATTTCTGACTATTTTTTTAAAAATTTCTGACCCGCAAAGAAAATATATTTATTTGAACTCACTTCACTTAAATTTACAGATAACCCGCATGACCCGTAGATAATTATTAAATAATATAAATATTTAAAAAAAAATATAATTAATATATCTTTAATTAAATTTTTATTTGTTGTATATTTTAATTCTTTTTACCTAAATTTATTATATTTTAAAAAGAAACCTTTTTAGGAATTTTTTTTCTATCTTTTCGGATTAGCGGGTATCTGCGATATAAATTAAACCAACCCACATCCGCTCTGCATAAAATACACTTAACTTAGATCTGTATCCACAACTTAGTTTTCTCAAATTGATCGCTCCGCACCTGCCCTGCAACGGCAAACGGGAGGAACCCTTGGGCTATGATTAAATAGTTATTTTAAAGAAAAATAACAAAGTATAAATACAATTTTGTTGAGTAATCAAATAGTAATTAAATAGATAGATTTATCTGTTTTCATTAAATTTTCAGGATTTGATTTAATATATAATGATAATAATGCTTACACATAATAGTTTTTCATGCAATTTATCCAATGTATGGTTTATTTTTTTACCTACTAAAATAGGTAATGTGAGAAATTGTATGTTGGACTAAACAATCCGATAATCAAAAGATATCATTTGGATCGATTTGTAGCAATTTTTTTAATTTTTTACTCATCTATTTAGGATTTGAGTTTGAATTAGAAGAAAAAAATTAGGGTTTTTTTTTGTTTTGATTTGGGGAAGAACACAAAATATCCAAAAAAGATTCAGAATATTTGACTGACGTAAGGTCAACCAAAATTTGCGAGATTTAAATACGTCGATGGTATTTGAAGAATAAAAGTGTTGCCTTGCTATTGCATTAAAAGGATATTAGGAAAATACATAATTTAATATAATCATTGCTTAAAAATATTTCAGTGGCAGAATCTTGTAAATATTATTGAAATAAAAGGACATCTAGAAAAAGACCTTGTATTTTAATAGTATTGATTATTTGATCCGCGCTTTGGAAGCGTGGAATTGTCTTTTGTCAAAAACTATTTATTTATTATTTTATAATAGAAACGACAATAGACCATTTTTAAGGAATACGATTTTTAAATATTTGTAAAACATAAAGATACTAAAAATCTTGTTTTTAATAATATAGATTATTTTTAATATATAATTATGTATTAAATTTATTTTAATACTTATTTTGAGATGATGAAATATTTATTTAAATAGAAGTAGTTTTTCAAGTAATAAATGTTCTAATTGCTTAAAGGGGCAAAATATGTAATTTTAAAAGTTACATAAAATTATTTAAACGGATTTTTTAGGGATGAGGACACGTAGCTCCTTTAATTGGGTTCAAACCCGATGAACTACTGTAAGTATTTCCTCAAGTATTCTTAGAATCATTTTTTCTATATTAAATAAAATTGAAGTATCTTTTGGTACTGTTTGAAAACATAGATAGCAGAATAAATTAAAATTATTTGGAAACATCGATAACATATTAAATACTTTATTTTATTTACACATTTAGCCATTGTATTTACAAAAAAAAATATTTTCCTTTTGTATTTGTTTTCTTTACAGATTCTACCACTGCATTTAAAATAAATTTAAATTAATTAATTACAATGGTTGTTGTTTATTATTAAAAACAAAAACTGAAATATATAGTATTTATCATATAAAACAACTTCTAAATACATTATTACCTTATTAAGTTTAGTCAAATATAAAAATTCTGAGAGTGCAATTTTCAAAAAAAAAATAAAACACCATAAAATAAATAATAATTATTAGAAAACTAATGCAAACAATTAAAAATTTTAGTATGTTGTTTAATTTTAAAATAAATTAACAAAAAAATAGCAGGTTAATATATGAAACACAATTACAACAAATTGCATCAAATTATAAAATTTTATAATATTATGTACAGTTAGAAAATTATTATTAAATATTTATATTATATAGTAATATATTTTACTCTATATATAAATTAGAAAACATAAAAAATATTTAAAAATTGTTTTATAAAATCAACGGTTTATGAGTTTACGTTGAAGATAAGTCAAATCAAACACCTGGACGGGGGTGCAGATCAAATTCTCTTGAGAAAGCATTGGGAAAAAAAGCCAAATGACGTTCCAAAACCAAAAAGGTATGTATTTGAGAATCTGTATTGTATTGACTATTTATATTTACTTTAAAAACGAAAATCACGAGTCAAGAACATGTTAGTTGTAATGTCATTCAAGTGGAATTATCTTTGTTAAAATGACACTAAACTTACTTGATGTCGCTTAGGATGAACTCCAGTTTTTACCTTGCTTCCCCCAAGTACAATTGTTTCGACCGGGCACAATCCAAAATCTGGCCCAACACATCTGCCATGGACAAACATTGTAAAGGTTCGTATTGATAGCAATGATAGATATTTTGTAACCACTACGCCTTTCTATTTACCAGTTAAGATATTTTCAGCAAGTGTTCTAGAAAAAAAACATTTGAAAGTCGGCATATTAAGATACAACTCACCAATCATGTGGCTGGATCGAGTAACTTTATTTTGATTAAAAATCAACTTTTAGGTATAGCTTGTTGATCGATAAGCTTCTCCTGCAGATTAATTTGGAAGTTCCAGATGTTGCACCATACTCCAAACGGAAGAAGCTTTCCTTTACTTTCAATGTAAGTTTTTTTACACGTTTCATGAACTTTATGCCCCTTATAGATGTTACAATTACATTAAAAATATTAATATCATTAATCGCAAGTTTAAATAAGATATAAAAGACAAAGAAAACATAATTGAAAAACATAAGTAGAAAGTTATGATCGCTTACGTTCTCATCCGCAAAGATGAATTCCATGGTTTCCTCTGAAGTTCAATGTTTTTTTTTCAAGAGTGTAGAACCTTCACATGGATGGACCAAGTGTTTTTAAATGGCATCGAGTTTTTAATGGCGGTGACTTTTTCATTAGAAGCACCTGTTTTGATTCGCATTTTAGGAGTCATTTGTTTGTTTGGCGGTGTGAGTTTGATTAGGAAGATGCGTTGTTATTTATAATATGAAGAGGCGATAGGAAAAACTTGTGGCATACTCTAAATCTCACGAGATCTTCTATTTAATATTGGGAAAACTCAGTTACCAATTTGAAACCCAAGATATTTTGTGTGTGTTGGACACGTAATATGATTAGATTTAATCTTTGAACCTTGATTATATTTAAATCGTATAATGCTCCCTTTTTTTTACATTTATTATAGGTATTATGTAGCAAATATTATGAATACTTGCCAAAAATCTAGGAGTACCTAATGATTTTTAAAATTGAAAACAAAAACTATGGAATTATGAATATACTTCAAATAGAATCGGTATCCAAGCTATATATATATATATATATATATAAATCACTGGTTGTTTAAACAGTAAATAGATTTTTAAAAATATTTTAAGAACTTTATTTATATTTACTGTAATACTTTTGGTTCAAATTCGATTTTCATTTTTTTCTTGATTAAAGATTTATCAACTATACATTACATTTTCATAAAAAAATATTTTAAATAACGTATAGGTATGTGGAATGAACTGAAAATAAGCATTTGAACATTTATTTATATTTCTATGAAGTATAAATTTGTTTAGAGTTTTAATCCATAAACCTTTTTTTATATCAGGGTATAGGTTTAATAATAGAGATGATTTCAATGGGCTGAACATCTGGATTTAAAAAGGCAGGACTTACTCGGAACTGGGCCGAATTTGGTTTGGTTTACATAGATTCAGTACGTTATTGGTAGGTCTAAAAAATGGGAGAGTTCTGATTGGTCAAAAATTGGGGTCGACATGTATTTAAAAAAAATTAGGTAATGGTAGAAGATTGTAATTAACTTGAAACATCAGGGGCAGAATCATATTAGGGATTCTGATTTAATAGTATAGATAGATGTTATAAGTATATTTATCCATAGTAAATTAACTAAAGAAGTGGAAAAAGTTCCACAAAATTAGGAGATGATTAAGTGGCGTTTTTGAATAAGCAAATAAAACATTTAATTAAAATCATAGCTTAAGGTGTTCCAATGACATAGTTTTGTAAATACTTGCAAAAGAGAAGGACACCTGAAAAAATGGCTTGTGTTTTAATAGTATAGATATATTAGAAAAATAAAAATGACCAAAATAAATTTAAATATTTTATCAAAAATAAATAAATATGGGTTAACTAATCCTAAAACTTTTTGTTTAGAGTTGAGGAATGGAGTTTTGGGATATGATTTGAAAATTTGTTTTGAAAAAAAAAACAATTTAAATATTTTATCAAAAATAAGTAAATATGGGTTAACTAATCCTAAACCTTTTTGTTTAGAGTTGAGGAATTGAGTTTTGGGATATGATTTGAAAATTTGTTTTGAAAAAAAAACTTAAAATTTTCAAAATAAAAAATACTATTTTGGTCATTTTAGGTTTTGAGGTCTATTTTTGTGATAAAAACTTTAAAATGTCTATTCAAAAGAATTATCCATTTAATTTCCTCAAAATTTTATAATATTTGTGCATTTCAAAAAGCACTCATAAAAATTTAAATACTAGAGCATAGATTTACCTAAGTTTATTTCTTTGCATTTTTAACTAGATTTGGTCAATTATGCAAAAACGAGTTTATGTGAACAATAATTGTTCTGAATATATGATAAAATCAACTTCAAAAAGTTCATTATCTAACATACAAAAGTATTAAAAATCTACAGAAAGAAGCAAAGAAACAAACTCAATGCAACGGAAGAGAAAAGTACAAACTGCAAAAATAAAATACAAGTTGCATGAATTAGTTAATCTCTTCAAGGAGTCCATGTATACCCCTCTAGTGAGTAAAATTTTAGGAAACAAATAGAAAGGGTTGAATCCAGTCTCTCGATTTCTTCACTATTTCTGATGTAACGTTAGAGCAGCTTTAACGCTGCATCTTAACTAGTTTTTAAGGTGTAGGACCCACATTTTTTAAAAAAACTTGCCTCTTCCTCCTCTTCTGTAAGGGGGGCCTCTTGGGGATTTTCTGACTGTTCGCGGACCCCACAAACACGTGGCGACCCGCAATTGGTTTATCTTTTATTTTTTTAATCAGAAAGAAAAATAAAAAAATAAAATAATTTTTTTGCATAAGAACCCATGCATGGGTTAATCATGCTCTTACTTCTATAAGAACAAGTCTAACAATAGGATATGAACTGGTATCTAAATAATAAAAAAATAGAAAATAGGAGAGATAATGATAAAAGGTTCTCATAAAATATGAGCTACACTCATGGGCATATGTCAGATTATCTTCCACTTGGTTATTTAAAAGAAAATATATTTTAATTTAGTAAAAAAGTTGTATTAAGATAATAGTATCAATTTTCTCAAAATTTCCCTTAAGAAACTTTATCGTTAAGAGCATTAATATCGCAGGCTCTTAATAGGGTTGCTTAGATAATTATGATTTAAAAGAAAATGAAAAACACATATTAAGCTAAGACACGACTCTTAATTAGGGGAAGCATGCAACGTATCTTAACATATATGTGTCAAGAAATTAGAGGATAGAGGAGAGGTGTGGGGCTGGTTTGATTCTTCGGCTTCTCTCTCTCGAATGCTCTCTCGACAATAAAAGGGGCGATCTCTTCCTCTCTGAGACTCTCCATCGTGAAACAGTGACGTCTCTCTCGGTGGCCGTCGTCGAAGGAGGAAAACATCGATCTCTCTCTTGGTGGCTACCCTCGACGCGCAGATGAGTTCAGAAACATGAACCGTTTGTTGCTTATTACTGTAAGTATTTGTTGTTGTCTTGTCTCTTTCTTTTGAGTAAAAACCCCTAGATGATTGGGTTTGAGAGCTGATTTGATCGTCTCCAGCGATTGAGTACTATATGGATCTTTGAAAATTGATGATTGATTGATTAGGTCGGCTATACGCCATGGAATAAGGATTGAAAATTCCTCAGAGCGAGAGAACTAAGACCACCAATTCGATCCTCATGTCCCTCATTAATCAGCTTGAAATTTTGATGATGATGATGATGATGACGAGGTTGAGAAGATTGAAGAAACCTTCTTTCAAGAATCGTTTCCATGATCTGAGCAGCTGCTGAATGGGCTCCTCTTCGGTTGCTTCTAGACACATGGTCAGATCTTCAGTGCAACTCCCGCCTTCTTGTTCATGTAAGTGCCAACCATGTGCTTCATTATCTTCTGCTTCCTTTTTGTGTGAACCTAAACTACATGCCGTAGGTCGAGAAGTGAATAGTCTTGTTTTTGTGTGAATATGATTGTTATGTTCTTACTTATTAAATGTACTTCAACTTCTCAGATATGTTTATGTTTTTGCCAGTATCAGTGAAGCCTATTTGAAGAAATATCCAGCTAGGATCAAGCGTTCTCCTTTTTGTTAACAATGGCTAATGTCACTGCATACTCAGACATTGGTACTTGAACATCCAGCCTCTCTCTCTCTGTAGTTTCTAATTAAAAAACATCAGTACTTGAACATTGGTGGACGTGTTGAGTCTTAGTTTTGTAAATCTTCTGGTGCTAACAAAAGGTTCTAATTGTGTCATGTAATAATGTGTGGTGGGATTTTTTGTTGGTCTGTGATTATGAACTAATAGAGGAGATTATGTAAATGTGATGTCTGCTGATGTTTAATATTGTCTGATATGCCTGATATTGAAGACATAATGGGAACAAATTTGAATCGGGCATTGACTCTTGTGACTCAGCATCTGCTTGCAGCTGCAGATCGTTATGCTCTTGAGCAGCTAAGAATAATCTGCGAGTCAAAATTCTGTGAAGGAATTAGTATAAACACAGTAGCGACCACCTTGGCTTTGCCAGAGCAGCATCACTGTTTCCAGCTAAAAGCTGTGTGTCTCAAATTCATAGCTTTACCACAAAACATGAAAGGTACAAACTCAAATAAACATTTGATTCAACATAAGCCATTGGAATGCTTATATCATATAAAATGTTTAATAATTTTTTTTAAGAACCCTTAATTAAGAAACTTGCATTGGAGCACATAAATGTTTGAGTTTCTTAACGATGTCTCTTAATTCACTTTTACTACTTAAAAGTATTAAAAAAATAAGAGCCCCTAAATGGGTCTCTAGGTTAATGATGCTCTAAAGTGTCCTAAGCAACTTTAACCGGAACTTCTCCATAAAATATATGATAATTTTAAAAATAAAAAATGAAGACACAATAAGAACACCATTATCGGGGGTTCTTAGATGGGTTTTTAGTTTAATTAAGAAAGGAGAGATTCTCAGATGCTCTTAATGAGGCAAAAAATATTCTGCCATACTCTTACAAATTCTCGCATACTCCTCATTTATCTCATACTCTTCCAAAACATGGTTAATGTCTAAATTACCCTTTTTGGCTAAACCAATCATAATCATTCTCTCTCTTACTTTCTCTTCTTCATTTCTCTCTCCACTGTAGATCTCAAACCCAGATTTTATTCAAGCTCCACTAACTTGATGTTAATCATTTTGATTTTTACATGAGATGGCGATTTCTTTCATAAATATATACTTTGATTATTAAAAATACTATTATAAAGCCGGAGATGGTCATGAATGGATTCCAGACGAAGGTAGTTTGTATGCTAGTGGACAGGATATGCAGAAAGATGACCATAAATCCATGTACTAAAGGTGAAATTTAAGTTATATTTCATTGGCAGTAAAACCTATGAGACTATTGAAGAATCATAACGACATATTAAGGTGACTGAGCCAGTTGAAGATGTTGTTATTCGAGATAGAAACAATGTAAGTATTGATTTGGATAATGTGGAGAGCATGTGAAACATTTAGTTGA